AAATCTATTCTTTTTTAAGCGTGGCAAGGTAGTGGAAATTGTGTTGGGTTCTAAGGAGGGATACGGAGTTCAACAAGGGTCGGGATTCCTCAATCAGTGTTTCAAAAAGCACTAGGGGGCACCTAGGTGGTTGGGGTCTCCAGGCCGCCCAACGCCTAGGCGAGCGCCCAAAACCTATGCTGCCCAATAGAAAAATATTTTTTTTTGGGTTCTCTCTCTCTAAAATAACCTTTAATGGGTTTTAAGTTACAAATGAACCTAAAACCCACAATTTTGCCCAGTTAGTATTAAAAAAAGACCCAAAAATACCCTCAAGGAGCTGCATTTCTGCCCCTGGGTGGGGCACAGGCCCTGGTCGGCCGCCTAGGAGGGTTTAAGCAGGCGCCCAGGGATATCTGCCTAGGCGGCCGCCCAAGCGCTGAGCGGTCCGCTTTTTGAAGCAATGTCCTCAATTATGTCCAAGGATTGGATAGCAGAAAGGTGAGAGGTCTTGAGGTGACTGAAATTCCTGAGGATGGTTCTATTCCAAGATTTGAGGGAACCTTTGAGAAGCTGAAGTTTAGTTTGAAGCTTATACCCAGCCCTACCCAAAACATTGGGGATAAGGAATCCCACCGGGTCGGGATGAGCAAAAAAATAGCCGATTTTTCAAGCCAGGAAAGCTCAAAACAAAAGGGCTTGGGACCCCTAGCTATAGAAAGGGTATCGAGTAGGGGTCAGAAGTAGGTTTGGGCAAGGCCAGCACGTGAAACCAGGAAAAGCATCTTCCCACCTAGTGGAGATGAGGCACCGGTCTAGTTTGAAGAGGGACAGTTGGGAAGAGTGGTCAAACCAAGTGAAAAGGTTCCCCTAGAGAGGTATATCAATAAGTTCATTCCGAGAGAAAGTCTGAAAAATCTAACATGCCTTAGAAATGTTAGAGTTGGAATTTCTCTCAAAGGACCAACGGGCAATGTTGAAGTCCCCCCCCCTAGACACCACGAGGGCTGGGGGAGGGAACCAACCATGTCAAATTCGTCCCAAAGGAGGGTTCTGAAGGAGGCAGAATTAGGGCCGTAAATGCTGAGAATTTCCAAGGGAGACTATTCAAGTTCCTGAAGAGGAGAACGGTGGCAAAGAAGGTGCCGGCGTGAAAAGAGTTTAGGGTGTGCTTGGTAGGGTCCCAAATGCCTCCTGAGGCCCCTTCGCCCAGCATGGAGACCCACTGACAAGGTCTGTGGCCCCATACCGGCCGAATAAGGTGGAGGGAAGGGTGGGGTTGTTTAGTTTTCGTGAGGGTGAGAATAGAGGGATGGTGCATGATGCACAGGTCACGGACGACGTTCTGCTTACGAGGTTGGCCTAAACCCCAGAGGTTCCAAGAGAGAAGTTTCATAAAGAAACAAGGGGGGGGGAGGGGATGAGCCAGTCTAGGTCACCTTCTTAACGAAGGGTCAGGAGGGAGGGAAGAGCAGAAAGCCACCAAGGGGGTGGGGAAGACTGGTTGTCTGTCGTAGTTGATGCTCGAGGCTAAGTTAAGGATTTCCCTTGAGCCTTTGTTCCTCACCTTGAGCCTTACCTACGCGTCTGCTTGGAAGAAAGGTGGAAGTGGCCCCAGGGTCTGTCATAGGGGAATCCCATAACTCTGAGAACTTCCTTGATGTTGCCTTGACCTCAGTCGACTCTATTAACATACTCAGAGTTAACCAAGGAGAGGGGGGGAGGGTGGTTAGGGTGAGCGGAGTGGCCAGGGCTAAGAGAGGGGCAAGGGTGGAAGTTGTGCCAAGGGGACGAGGGAAGGACAGGGTCGAAGGGGGAGGAGAGACGGGATCACGGAAGAGATGGCGGGAGACACTGGTGCTGAAGGAGGAGAAGAAAGGTTGGGGTGAAAAGCAGGAGGGATCGACAAGGGGGAAAGGGGGGGATCAAAGAGGTTGGGGTGGTGAGGAGGGGCAGGGGTAGAAAGAGGAGGAGCAAGAGGGCAGGAGGTTGTGACCGGGTCGGGGAGGGGAGAAGGGTGCTCAGCAGGGACGGGGATGGGTATAGGAAGGAAGGGGGGGTCGAGGGCGGGGGGGAGGTGGGGAAAGAGGAGGGATGAAGGAACTAGACGGGCTAGGGGGCTGGGTATGGGAGAAGGGGGGGAGGAAGAAGCCGAGAGCAGGGAGGGCCGGGGCAGCGAAGGGGTCAAGAGGGGGGGGGAAGGTAGGAAAAGGAGGGGAGGTAGGGGCAGTAGGGACGAGAGGGATAAGGGTCGAGTGGTAGCGGACCAGAGGGGAGAGAATGGACGCCAAATAAGCAAGGTCCAACGGCTAGGGTTGTCGATTTCCATTACGAGGATGCGGGCAAGGAGAGGGGGCCAATCCATGGGGGGTTGGCGAGAAGAAGAGAACAGCAACTAGGTCCGAGGGTTACGAGAGGCGAATTTGGGGCTTCGAGGGGGAGCAGAGGGGACGTAGGCACCACAACAGGGGCTAGTAAAGAGGGCCAAGGGGCGTCTGCCGAGGCTATGGGGGGAAGGAGGGCGGAAGGTAGCGGTGAGGGGAGCTGCAAAGGAGTGGGGGAGGAGAGAAGAGAGGAGTTGTCAAAGGGGGTGAGAGAGGGGATCGAGGCCGCAGGAAGAAGGGGGGGGGGTAAGAAGCGGGGGTCAGGGAGAGGAGAGGTGGGGGCTGGGGAAGGGGAAGGATAGGAGGGGTGGGTTGGAGAGAGATGAGCAACAGAGGAGATTGGGGAAAGGATAGAGATGGGGTGGGGTACGAGTATCCCCAAAGGGATTGGGGTGGAGGGGAGAGGGTGACAGGTGGAGGTATGGGGAAGAGGTGATGATGAGAGGTGAAAAGGTTTGAAATGAGGGGAGAGAGAGAGAGAGAGAGAGAGAGGGAGGACGACAGGAGCATCGAGGAGAGGGGAGGGGAGAGAGAAGGTCAGCGAGGAGGTGCCAGGTGGCACGACATAAGGCGTAGGTGGTGGCCGATGTGGATGGACGCAGGATGGGGAAAGAGAAGAGAGGTTGTCAGGGGTTGGTAAAGGTCAGGAGAGGTGGAAGGGAGGGAGGGAGAGGGAGTAGGGGTGATGATGGCAGTCAGACCAAGGAAGGGAGGTTAAGAGGGAGGAGGGGGGTGACCAGCATCCCTGCCAGGAGAAATAAATGAAGGATGCAGGGGAGGGGAAAGGTTAGGGGGTCAAAACGAAGCAGACCACATGGCACGCCAAGAGGTCGACGGTCACATGGGAAGGGCGATTAGGATGGTCACTAGGGGGTGAGTTGGTGCTGCCAGCGGTCCCCAGGAAACGGGAGGGCAACGAGGGCTCCAGGTTTGGTATGGGGCGCAACGGCTAGGCGGGGGGGTCAGAAGGGGGGTGGCACCTCCCAAACTAGTGGCGCTTCCTAGAGATGGTAGTCCAGGAGTTGGGGTGATGAGGCAGAGCCTTCGCTTGAAATGAAGGAGGGAAGAAAAGGGGAGAGGGAGGGCAGGCTAACGACCAAGAAACAAAGATGCGGAAGAACGAGTCCTCCACCTCAAGGCAGAGAGAAGAGGGGATAATACTAGGGCCCAGGACTTCCAAGAGCAATTGGAAAGATTCGAGGGGAAGGAATTCAGTTGATTTCCAGTTAATGGCGAGAAAAGAGCCACAGGAGAAAGCGATAGGCTTAAAGGTATCAGGAGAGCAAGAGTGGAGGGGAATGTGGTAGGCGGTAACCCATACTCTCTATTTTCGAAGAGCACCATCGACCTCGGACCATTTGCGAAGGGCAAGGGAAGCAAGAATAATGGACATCGAAGACCACAAGGCCCTAAATGCATTATCTTCAGAGGGGAAATTGAAGAGGATGGAGCTGTCCGAGAGCTTCCCATAGCCGAGCTCAAGCTCTTCCCAAAGGCGCTGCCCCCATTTTTCAATAGCACGGAAATCGTCATGCTTGGGTTGGAAGGAGCCCACCAAGGAAGAGTGAAGCTTGGACCGGATGGGAGAGGATTCAATTGAAAGAGTGGCAAGAATATGGGGTAGGTGCAGCGATCGGCGGTGAGGTGGGGGAGTCAGAGGCTGAGTGGCAGGGATGACCACAGATGGGGGAGAGAGGCAGGAAGGTTTTTAAGTATATGGGTGTACCGGAAATCGAGAATAGAGGGAGGCATTGTCCCCTCCCGGACGGGAGAGGGTGATGGGAACTGGATAGTCTAGGTTCAAAGGGCCTCCATCAGACTCAGGCAGAGCGTTGCAGACTCAAAAAAATGTTTACTAGGTATTGCAGTCATATCCTAATAATATTCTAGGTCTTCTCTCACACTTTATTTTTGTATTTTTTACTTTTCTTGTTTGTTTATTTTTTTTCCCGTCTTCCCTGCATCAATCCATCCCAGGTTCACTCCACACAAGTTCTTGCTCTTATGGCATCTAAAACAAACACCTAATTTAAATGTCATTCACAAGATATTCATAAGACTCGTTTCAGTTCACTATGATGTTGGATGCTAGAGGCTTCACAAGAAAGATTGCAGAAAAATGCTCAAATTGACATGGAGATTCACTTTAAATGAAGATGATTATAAAGTGTTGCATGTAAGTAAATTGGCCTCCTCTTTTCTAGGAAGAAGATTAGGCAAATACCAAACAGGCCTAAAGGATTCAGCAGAATAAACAGCATTTCAAGCAAGTGATACTACAAATTTTAGAACAGGGAATAGATGTTGCCACGTGGCAATAAAAATCCAAAGTTCATATTTCAAATAGCCGAGTATAGATTCCCTAAACATTTCTCTCTTTAGTTTGCAGTTGGCAATTCCTAAAACCAAAAGCACAGAACAGGCTATTGTGGAACATATAGCAAACTATATGCATATGTAAAACAGGATACAGTAGTTTCAATACTCTTTAGGCTTTCTGTTTCCTGGGAGCCTCAAGCATCAGAACATAAGTTCAGTTCATTATCAAAGGGAACCGCAGAACTACAGGAATTTCAACAAAACAAGTGCAAACTTCACTAATTCCCAATTAAAGAAAATAAACCAAATCCCAGATACCTGTTTGAAACTGGAATCTTTCAAGCGCCCCACAACCAAATGTTCTAATACCATTTTCTTTTTTGTCATCTGCATCATCCTCTCTTCGATAGTCCCACGAGTAACAAGCCTATATATCATCACCTGTACAATGGGATTGGTAAAGCATAAATTGCAGCATAAAGAAGTGTAAAAAAGATCTTCCTGCATCAAATTATTCTGTTACCGATAATCTGTGAATTTGCAAACTCCTACCTTATTAGTTTGCCCCAGCCGGTGGGCCCTAGCCATAGCTTGTAGATCAGCATGTGGGTTCCAATCACTACATGGAATGAGAAAAAACAAGTGCAAATAAAAGCCATCCGTAATTTTGATTTTCAACTGAGCATTAGCAAATTCAAGCATGTTAAGTTTCAAATTAGGACAAATGTTACCTGTCATATAATATAACTGTATCTGCAGTTGCAAGATTTATGCCCAACCCTCCAGCTCTAGTAGAAAGCAGAAAACAAAATCGTGTGGAATCCTTGGCATTAAACCGATCTATACGAATTTGTCTCTCTACTCCACTAACAATTCCATCAATGCGTTCATAGTTCCATTTCTTTCAAACAGATGAAAGGAAACAGCAGACAATAAGGTCAGTACTAACTTATCAAAGGAGAAACAACAAGGTCAGTACTAACTTATCAAAGGAGAAACAACAAGGTCAGTGTGTTACAACTATACATCTGACTATACACAAAAGGAGCTGTAAAGTATAATTTTGACTGTAATCATCCCATAGGATGATCCAAGGACAGCCAGCTCACTTTTACAAACCTTGTAAGTCAAGTAATCTTCCAACAAATCCAACATGTGACGAAATTGTGAATATATGAGGACTCTATGCCCCTGCTCTTTAAGCTTTACCATCAACTTGTCCACCAATAGTAATTTCCCCGAAGATTCAAGCAGCTTCCTGCCAATTAACATGCAAATTACATTCAGCTAATTTGGACTAGAATAAGCACCATTAATTAGGTATAACACCAATTTCAACAAAGAGAAAGTTTACTACAAAAAACTATAAACACAACAGTTTAGAACAAGTATATACAGAAACAAGAGGTTCCTTATTCTGCCTTTTCATGGAAAGGATACCAAATATCATTTCATTAGCTCATTAAATGCAATGTGCCTTTCACATCATAGGGAAAAACATGAATATCCTAAACTTTCCACAGTTAATGCACTAGAAATGCTTTACTTAGACAAGAGAACTGGGGATGAAGTATTCATTTATAGCTGAAATTAATAAATGCAAGACAACCTGAACGCTTCATCGGCATCTGGTATCTCGGGCTCAACTCCCTCTAACATATATGCATGACAACAGAGTTTGCGCAGTTCCATAGCAACATTCATGAGGGAAACCTGAACATAAGAAAGCGAACATGAGATAACCATGTCACCAGAAAATAAAAGCTCTACTTGACTTATAACTTAAAAGCAATTGGGTCCTGCCTGAGCAGCACCATGACGAGTCAGTATCTGATAATTGCGAGTCAGAATGGCTTTATAGTATTCTTTCTGCAAAGCACTTAGTTCAACACGCAAAATAAGCTCCTTCTTAGGTGGAAGATCCTTCATGACATCCTTCTTGACTCCTGCACAATGCACAAATTGAAAAGAGGAAGAAAAGCATAAGAAGAGAAGTGTGTGAAGCATATAAATGAAAGTGAAAGCAAATTGAAATCAACAGTCAGCAACCAACCATTTGATTAGATCAACTTCGATACCCATAGTCAAAACTATTCACATTATAAAATTCTAAAACATAATTTCAAGTATCACATTATTCCCTCCCATATAAAGCCTTGCCATGAAAATAACAGATGAAGTCCAAATATATTGCTTTACAGATACATTTCAATGGCCACTTGCCATCAGAAGGATACCACACTTCATGAAAGAGAGTCAATGCCTAAAATTTTCCAGACAGCAACCTTATTATGGCAATACATAGACCACATACATGTAATTGAACATATAATTCTATGACAAAGTTTGTTGAGGAAACCAATACACTTTGTAAACTTTTGGAAAGTAAAGAACGCATACAATGCCCACATGACAAACCAATCAGTCAAATACTCCAAACTTCTGCCTGGGTATGGAAACAGTATTATGACATCTCTGCAAATTATTCACCTCTCTCTCTCTC